CTCGGGTACGAGCCATACTCGGTCCAAACCGCCGCCTCCAGCTCCACGTATCCAGCGCAGAGTGCCTACAGCGACAGAACATCATCCACATCCCACCTACCTCCGGCACAGGCTTCTCAGCAAGCAGCCACTTCCGACTACACTGCGACGGCGGCGGCGGCCGACCAGACTTGGCCGGACACCCAGGGTCGCACCAGCCAAACCTACAGCACCGGCACTTCGAGCGCCGCGACCTCAACCCAGCACCAACACCATCAGTCTACGTCTCTGCAGCAGTTTGACATGCGCTCCAAGGGTCCAGGACATCAGCAGACTCGGTCCCAGCAGCAGCAGCAGCAGCAGCCATATGGGAGCTACACCCCTCAGCAGCAGCAGCAGCAGCAGCAGGCGCCTACATCGTCCCGACAGCAACAGGGTCACGAGCAGACGCAGTCCGCCGCTCAGCAGCAGAGTTCATGGTATGGCAGCTTCGGGTCCGGCTCTTCCTCCTTTGTATCCGCCAACGCGACACCCGGGTACGGTACCCGCAGCAGCAGTTCTGCGGGTTACGGGAGCGGCACCACGAGCACGGCGTCGTACGGCCAGCAGCAACACCCTCAGCAGCAGCAGCAGCATCGACGGCAACAACACCATGGCTTGTCTAGCATGGCAGCCCACGGCTACGGTGGAGCGGAGGGTGATATTTTTGATCTTCTCAAGGCGGGCATGAATTCGCGGTAGAGAATGTTCGGACCCGGTAATGGGGCGTGGTCCTGAATCTCGGCATGCGACAGCAAGGCGTATGGATCTTTTGGAGGACTTTTGGAGGACTTTTCGGGGAAGAGTTCAGCATGAGACGATAAGATGGGTGAAATGAGTCGAGGACTGACGACTACAGCAGGACGGCAGAGGGAGGTCTTCTCGACAGAGTGTAGCTTAATCATTGAGGCCTTCACGGTTCCCGCCAGGGTTGGAAGGCGCGTTACTTGCTATGATATCTGGGATAGGTTGAGTGAATTGGAGCTCGACATGCAGGTGTTGCCGATCGATTTCCGAGGTAGCATTGGACCAGATGGTGTGATCAGATGGAATCATTGGGAGGCAAGACTAAACATGCTGGATCAGCATTTCTTCATCTACCTTGCTGCGCCTGACCCTGGCTTTCGTGAACCTCCTTGCCCTCAATTAAAGCCTGTGAGCCTCCCATACTGGATCTGTCGTCCTTTTCCTGAAAAAAAAAAAAAAAAAAAAGTACCCTCCAAAGCCTTAGGCTCGGAATGAAGGTACTGCGGACCGGTTGCCTGCGCTGCCCGCCAGCTGTGCCGCCGCTTCATGTCTTGCTGTGCCGTTGCCTCTCTAGAGCGGACGCGGCGGATGTTTCGCGTGCTGACAAGACGTGCCTCGCACTCGGGCGGCTCGCACTCGGCACCCCTCCCCCACAGTGGCGAGCGTACTCGGCATCTCGGACTCGGGCTCCATTGTTGATGGCTCCCTGCTTGAGGGATCCTTCTGACATGTCAGGCACTTTTGTTGTCGGCTCGCGTGGCACAGTTCCATTCACCCCCCCGTTTCCAGGACTGAAGATGGCAAGGTGCCCGGCTGAATGGTGACGAACGCCACATGGCGCCGAGTTCGACTGCCCTTGCTGCATGCCCTGGATCCCAGCCAAATGGTCAGCTGCTGAAGCTCACCAATCAACCAAGAAATACATACCCTCAATTCCCCAGAACTCGACGCTGCACGGAATGCAAGGTTTCTGTTCCTAGCCAGAGCAGGGGCTCGATTGCGGTGCAGCAACTCGTCCCATCTCATCCTTGGGTCTCTCAGACACGTCGAATGATATTCCCGTCCTCGAGGCTTCATTTCTCCAGCTCGGTCCGCGGTCCGTTGTGCCAATGAAGATAAGCCGGGTCGGGGCCAGATATTTGATCCCACCGGCGTGCCCGGGAAGATGATGGTTCCGGGAGGATCTCCAGATGGACATAAATGGGATCGCGAGGACGCACATCTCCTACCCAAAGCTTTTGTATCTTTCGCCACAAGTTCCAGCACAACCAAGAGCTCCGTTGTTAGCCTAGCAAAGATGCTCTTTGGATCCTTGACCTCCCTGCTCGCCATCGGCGCGACCCTCCATCTGGTGGGAGCCGCCGCATCTCCGCCCAAGGCCAAGACTGTGAACGGCACCTATGTCGGTTACGACCTGCCCGAGTTTCAACAGCAGGTCTTCCTCGGTATCCCCTATGCCAAGTCGCCTCCGCTGAGCAACCCCGAACCGCTCACAGAGTCGTGGAAGGGGACACGGTCGGCCCAGAAGTACGGCAACATCTGCCCCACGCAGTCTGACGAGAGAATCTTCAAGGCAGTCAATGCTACCTTCTCTCACGACTGTCTCAACCTCAACATCATCCGGCCCGCCAATGTGCGCGCTGGAGACAAGCTTCCCGTTGCTGTGTGGCTTCACGGTGGTGGCTTCTTCGCAGGCTTCGGCGCAGAGAGCAACACCAACACGTCCTACGTGATCAGGGCCAGTGTGGAGAACAAGACGCCCATTATCACCATCACTCTCAACTACCGTCTCGGATTCCTGGGATTCCCAGGCGGACCACAGGCCGTGGCGGCAGGCATCACGAACCTTGGTCTCAAGGACCAGCGCATCGCCCTCCGATGGATCCAGGAGAACATTGCAGCCTTTGGCGGTGATCCTGCCAAGGTCACCCTGTGGGGTCAGTCTGCAGGCGCCATTTCGATCACGCACCAGATCCTCGCATACGGCGGCGAGGATTCAGGTCTCTTCCGTGGTGGCATCGCTGTCAGTGGTACGGCTGGATACGGCACCAACAGCCTCTTTCCCCTAAGCACGCACCTGACGGATGGCTATAACCACATTGCCAACGCATCCGGCTGTGCGGGCCCCGAAGTTGATGACAGTCTTGAGTGCCTCCGAAAGATCGACGCCTTTACGCTGTACCAAGCTGGCTGGGATGCCGTCAACGCAGGTCAGTCAAAGGGGGAGATTGCCCTTTACTGGTGGCCGGCCATCGACGGCGACTTCATCAAGGAGCCACCTGTCTCGCAGCTCGACGCTGGCCGTTTCCCGCGAAATATCAACCTCATGACGGGTGCCAACAGCGACGAGGGCCTTCTCAGCATCCACGTGCACAGCGCTGGCCTCAAGACGGAAGAACAGCTGAAGGACCGCCTCCATTTCTATTTCCCCACCGCGCGTCCCAGCACCATCCAAAAGATCCTTTCGGCATATCCCGTGGATGCGCCTTCGTCGCCCTACTCTCTGCCGATGAAGGGTGCCGACGGAAAGGATCCTTTCTGCGAGGCCATGAAGGTGGCTAATCTCACATGCGAGCCGCAGACAAGGCGCATGGCATCGATTCTCGGCGACTTTGCTTTCATCTCGAGGCGGCGGCATTCGGCCGAATCGTTCGCCAAGTACGGTGTCAAGACGTACAGCTACAGGTGAGCCAGGTCGAGACGGGGCCAGTTGGGATCTCGCAGAGCAACGCTAACATGGACGGCGCAGATTCGACACTGACCCAACAGACATTCCCATCAGCGAGGTCTTGGCGCCGGGCTTTGCCACGCACGCGAGCGAGTACACGTACTTCTTTGGCTTCCCTTCCTATTACAACATGTACGAGCGCAATTCGCCGGTCGTCAACGTCAGCTCGCACCTGCGGCTCTCCCGTGGCATCGTCGACAAGCTTGTATCCTACATTGCAACAGGGGACCCCAACACCAAGAAGGGTAAGCACTGGCTTTTCAGCTGCGTGGCTGGCAGTAGGAAATTGTGGTTGACCATGCTCGACAGTTGATTTCATGCCCAAATGGACACCCTACAATGTCGATTCGCCGAAGAACATGCTCTTCAACGCCACAGCGTCGAACAACAAGATCAATGTTCGTCTTGAGGAAGATACCTGGCGCAAGGAAGGCATGGCGCTGTGGTCTGAGTACGCCTTCGAGCTGGACCCCGGGAGCAAGTGGAGGCGGTGATCGGATTGTGACAGTGATCTGGCGGTCGTACTCAACAAGTAATCGTTAATCGTAGATTTGATGATGGAAGTCAATTGGGGGCCACCCTTGGGCAGTCAAGGATTGAGGGGCAGTTCATAAACCGAGACGCCCAGTTGGAGGAGAGTACGCGTTGTTAATATCAGTCCACGTTGATGACGTGACGGAGAACATCAATCTATGTTGTTGATGATGGAGAAAGATCCAGAGTACTTCCGTGATAGATAATTAGCATCATTCCCCGCGATATCGGTACGGTACCGAATTCACAAGGTACCTCGTACCTCATGGTGAGTAAGCTATAGGCAGGAATGCTACATGGCACCTTCCCTTCGGAGATGCCACACCGCCCACCTGCCTCGTCGTAAGTGCTCGGCTGTCAGTCAAAGAGAAGAGCTTGCCGTATATGAACGCAGCATTCAAATGATGGATTCAGTGTAGAAGTGCATCTGAAGAGATTTCGTCGCACCAGCCAGTATCTACGAACGTACAGTCTTCTTGCATGTCTACATGTAATGCTCAAGTGAGGCTATAGCACCCTAGTTGGCTAGGTCAGTTCCCCAAACGGCTTAGAAGTGGACCCGACGGTCAGCTGAGCTTTAGTCTCCAGGTCCTGTCTTAGCTTGTTGCGCATAACCCATGTTCCATGCTCCATGCTCCATGCTCCCTGATAATGAAAGTCATCACGCCATAAACACGCCACGTCGTTTCTTCTTTTATAAACTTTGATTACATGGTTTCCTCCCGTGAGTCACCGCGGACGCGTGGTGCGGCGGTTGCAGACGTGCGCCGTTTGAGGACGAGGCTCAAGGTTCGAGTCTCGCATCTGTGAAGAATAAAACCTGGAGGGTTTTTTCGTAACCACCAGAGGTCTTTCCAGGACAGTCCTACGTGAGCCCAGGGGTGGCAAGATTCGAGATAGGGCTGTTCCGCCGAGCGGGTTGCTCTGGTAGTGGAAGACGGTGGTGAGCTTTTTTTGTGGTTTTGTTTTGAGGAGGAATCTCTGTGTACCAACTATCCGTCTCCCTCCTCTTATGGAGTTGGTGCTATTGGCGATGGTCAGATCGACTCGCTGTTTGCTTGTCACCGTCATCACTAGACTCCCGAGGAAGGACAGGAATTCAAAAGAGCTGAGATGGGTTTTGATTTGAGGATGGATATGTGGCTAGGTAGGTAGCTGTCTGGGTATCTCATAGTGTAGTCGCATCCTCGTCTGCAGCCTCGACGACTCTCTTACCACTCGTAATCTCCCGCCTCGACTTTCCTTCCCGCCCTTCCATAAAAGGCACCAGGAACCGCGAGAGGCCCGACTCGACATCAAGGCCCCTCCGCCTCGCCTCCTCCAGCAGCGACCACACGCGCTCGTCCTGCGCGTCGGCGGCCCGCCGCACGAGCAGCAGCGCCGTATCCCTCGACAGCCACGCCTCGTCTTCGGGGCCCAGCAGCTCGACGCACCGGAACGCCTGTTCGACGTCCCGCACGTCCGCGAACGCGTGAATGGCCCGATCGAACGCCGCCCTGTCCGCGCGCAGGGCGGTCGCGGGGTTCTCCTCGACGAGGAAGCGCAAGGCCCTCGTGTCCTCGCACGCGGCGAGCAGGTGCCTGAATGTCGTCTCGTCGGCGAGCGCCTGCGTGTACCGGGGCATCTGCTTGTAGACTTGGAGCGCGGCGTCGAAGCCCTTCGCCGCGACCGTGGCCTCGACGACAACGTTCAACGCCTGGATCGGCACGTCGTAGTCCCGCACGAGCGCGGCGAGCCCCTCGAGCGCCCCGTCCAGCAGCGCCGGCTCGGCCTTGAGCCGCGAGTAGACGGAGCGTGTGCTCCCCTCCGGCGCGACCCCGAGCGCCCGGAACATGATGCACAGCAGCCTCAGCGCGTTGGGGATGTCCCCGGCGTTGGCGTAGCTGTCGATGAGCGCTTCGTAGTGGTGCACGCCGAGCTTGGCACCGCGCGCCGTCAGCACGCCCATGGCCGTCGTCGCAAGGTCCGGGTGGCCCCCGCGCGCCGCCGTGTCCAACACGGCGAGCAGGGTGCCGTCCGAGACGCGGCGGCGGTCGTGCTCGAGAAAGCGACCCCAGATGTAGGACGTGCCCTCGACGTGCGAGGCGGCGGCGCAGGCGTCGAGCAGAACGTGCCACAGGGCCACGGGGACGTCCTCACTCGCGGCATGGCGCTTCTCGTGCGCGAGGCGGACGGCCTCGTCGAGGAAGCCACGGTGGGCAAACGCGAGGACGAAGACATCGAAGAGACGTGGTGGCACGTCAGGGTTCTTGTCGAGGAGCTCTTCGGCCTTGTCAAAAGCGAGCTCGTACTGGCCGTCACGGAGGAGACCGAGAGCAACATTGCAGTGGCCGGAAAGGGTGATGGGCGTCCAGGATTCTTGCATGGCCCAGAGAATTTCGTTGCGAAGGAGGTAGTTGGGGTGGATGGCGAGAGCCTGTCTCTTTTAGCTTTGCATGGCGAGAGATAGGGGGGGGGATCCTATCGTCTCAGACATACCTCAAGTGCGTCATGACAGAGCTGCGCGCCAGGATTCATGCCCAGCTGGTGCATCTCAGCAAGGAGCTGGGCGATCATGTCGGCTGTTCCATTGGTATCTCGCGCGCAAGCGATGAGGCATTCGTAGAGCGCAGGGCTAGGTTGTTGTCCCCTGTCTTGAATGAGATGCCGTACGACAGCCGCTGCCGTGCGAAAGCTGTCTGGTATTGTCTGGAGCTGACGTAGTGCTTCGAGCATATCGGGGACAGAGGCCATCGGTAGGACATCGCGGTCGAGGATTGTCGGAGGAGGGGCCTTCAATATCGACCGAACACGAGCGTCGTTAACGGCACCCGCCGCTTCGTATGCCGCGGTGCGCACAGGGATGGCGGAGGAAGCATAGTGACGATATGTTGCAGTCTGCGCGCGTTTCGTGGCCGAGGCCGAGAGGCAAACTCGTCTTCGGGTCGTCGCGTGAAGTGTCCGGGGGACAATCGGGGCGTTGAGTACTCTAGAGGCGAGGACGGGGTCCACGGAGGGACAGAGGCAACGCCATAGTCCGTCAAAGGCGACCCGCGAGCCTGACATTAGGTTGATCGTGCTTGGTAGCGCAATTAAGGCGTCATGCCATTTTGCCTAGACATATCTTTCGAGAGTCATGGCAAAAGCTCGAATCGAGGACGGGAGGTTCAAGCTTCAGTGGATCTTTCACGTAATCACGTGACCATGTGAGAGTCCTTCATCGATCCGAAATCACGAGGCACCGAACCCGACCAAGGCCCTCTAGATGCGCTGAAAATGCATTTGTGATATTTTGAGTGGCCTTGAAAGCCCTTGCTTCGCCCAGCGCGACAGCGCCCAGATCGGGTCCAGCCATGCTCCAAACACGGAGCGCCCAGCCAGAACTGCAAAAGTGGGAGGCCGCCTCAGATAGCGAACATGGAGCCGCAACCTCGAGGCCCAGCCCATACCCAGACTCTCGTGTCCATGCCTTTCGAGCGACTGCGCTGCATCAGAATGCCAGCGCCGAGCGGACGCACCACGCGCCTGCATCGCAGAGGTCTCTCAACCCAAGCCCGTCCCCAATCCAGACTCCAACGGCCTCAAGCGCCGCGCCCCCTCCCCCTGCCACGGCCCTGTCCCCGTCCCCTGCCGCGGTCGCCGCCGCGGTGATCGCCCCTCCCGCCGCCGCGTCCGCCTCTGAATCCGCCTTGGTTGTTCTGCTGGTTCTCCTTGACAATGTCGGAAATGTCGTCCGGTACGCGGAGGTACTTGATCTGTAGTCCGGCGATCAGCTTTGCGTTTGCGCTTGAGCGAATGAATAAACAGAGATGTGTACGCACGTTGTTCCCCTTGACGTATACCTCGGGAATCTTGACAAACTTGTCGCCTTCCTGTGACGACACATAAATGGTTAGCCATGGCAAGCGCGCATGCGCTCCAGGGCGGGCGCCAGCGGGCGCGGCAGGGGGGGGCAAACGCACGGGACTCGTCTGGACGACCTCCTTCAGCGTGAGGTTCATCCACGTGTCGCACATGACGAGGTGGCCGTTGAGGGTCTCGCCGTTCTTGAGCTCGACGAGCATCGGGTGCCCTTGGGCGGCGTTGAGGAGGCCGAGAGGGAGCTGTCGAAGGCAGTTAGGTCGTGTTCCAAGTGTTGCGAGGGGAGATCTTCAGGGGGTGGAAAATATTACCATCTCGTTGTGTGCACGGGCGAATGTGCGGGCTGTTGTGATGTTGATGACTGGAGGCTCGCACTCGTGGACTTGGTGATGCGACGTGCTTGGTTGCAGCATGGAGCTGCGTTGTGGTGGGGCTCGGTGTGGGGTGCATAACTTCGGTGTAGCTTGTCGGTGCCTCGGTGAGCCAAGTCACCACAGCTCGCATGTTCAGATAGGATATGGCTTGACGTAGCGACCTTGACAGGTACCTAGTTGAGACACAGTTCGTCGAACGTTTCTTGATGCATACATCGTGGTATTGATTGCTGCAAGCTCCATCTGTAAAGTCTATATCCCGAACATTTTACCACATGATACCTCATGATTACTCGTTATATCCTAGATCACCTCCCCAAGCTCACCGCGTAGTATTCAAGCTGGACTCCTGTCGTGCACCAGCCGCCCCCGTACCCAGACCTTTTTCGTGTTCCGGTCATCGCCGTTAAAAAGCCACTTGGCCATCTTCTCCTCCCACGTCTCCCAGCCAAAAATGTCTACATTGCCCTCATCGCCACGCACGAGACTCGCATCGATGACCTCTCCCTCGCGTCCACCAACATGGTCCACGGCGCCCAGGCCGACGAGCTGCGCATCGTATTGCTTACCAACCTCAAAGCCGCCGACCGCGCTCTCGAGCCCGAGGATCTTAGCGCCGCCACGCGTGCCCAGGAACAGGGCCTCCTCAGCCGTGAGCTTGGCCCTCTCCTTCTCCGTGCCGTCCGGTAGGCCCATAGCGACGTGCCTCGAGACGAGACTCGACTGCCTCGCGGCCTCGAGGATAGACGGGCTGTAGCCGCCGCTCATGTCGGTGCCGAGCCCCACTTCGACGCCCTTCTCCCAGAGCCAGCGCACGCGCGCGGCGCCCGACGTGAGGGCTGAGTTGCTTGCCGGGCAGTGCGACACGCCGGAGCCCCTGGCGGCAACGAGATCGGCCTCCTCCTCGGTAAGGTGAACGGCGTGCGCGAGGACGGTGCGCTTCGTCAGGAGGCCGTGGTCGTCGTAGACGGCGGCGTAACTGGCCGAATCGGGGAACATGCTCTTGACGAGGGCGATCTCGCCTTCGTTCTCGGAAATGTGCGTCTGGATCGGCAGACCCGTGTCGCGGTGCAGGGCGGCGAGGCCGTGCATGGCGTCGCTTGTGCAAGAGGGCGCGAAACGTGGGGTCAGGATCGGGGTGACGAGGTCGTAGGACGGGTCGATGGCGCGGATGTGTGCTATGGATGCTTCGGTGGCCTGCAGAGAAGCCTCGGCGGACTCATCGCGATAGTACGAGGGGCACATGTCCTTGTGGTCCATACAGACGCGGCCAATGAAGGCGCGCTGGCCAATGTCGAGGCAAATGTCGGCAAGCAGGTTGGTGGCGGCAACGTCGACGGTGGCATAGTAGGCCGAGGTGGTAGTGCCGTGGGCGAGGGTGCGGCGGACGCAGGCCGTGTAGACGCGGCGCGCCTTGCTGAGGTCCTTGAGAGACGACTCAAGCGGGAAGGTGTATGTGTTGAGCCAGTCGAGGAGCGTAGACTTGCCAAAGATGCCAACATTGGGGTACTGGGACGCGTGGACATGCGTGTCAATGAAACCGGGGAAGAAGAACTGGCCAGGTGAGGCCGTGGTCACGGTGACCAAGGTTTCGTCCCATTCTAGACGGGGGAACAGCTCGGTCCTGGCGCGGTCGAGGTTGCAGTCCGGCTCGACGGCGACAATGGTACCAAAGCGGTCGACGCAGACGGCTGTGTTGTGAAGATACTCGAGAGATTCGCGTGACTGGGAGTGAATAAAGGTGCCAAGGAAGAGCTTGTTGCTGGCAAGGTAGGCCTCGGCCTCATCACTGATAGCTTCACCCATGGTGACGGTTGGGGCTGGTCAGCAGGAGCTCGGGAGGTGTTGGCTTCCTCGTGTTGACTGGGATTGAATATGGATATCAATAGCCAAAACAAATATAGCAAGCCAGCAAGCAGGAGCACCAATTCCAGGTCCAGTTTCGAGAGATAATACCCAAAGAAAGAGAAACGACAAAAGGTCTCAAACCCTGTCCGCACAAGTTGGGATTTATCGATGGAGATGAGCGAGGGCAGAGGGAAACCGCACTAGCAGGACATCTCCGTTGTCCGTCCTAGTTTCTTGGGTTCTGCTCGATCTAGGTGTAGCGATGATAAGTACAGCCCGAGTGGGTTATGTCGTCGAGATAAGGACAGGACGATAGCGAATGGGACGTCTGGTTCTATTGCTGATGGATGCAAGCCACGGCTGAACAGGCAATGTGCCGTAGAGTGCCCGAGTTGGGATGTATGTTCGAACGAACGAATGGGTGTCGACGAGTCTGGTAGAATGCAGACCGGCAACAATTGATGTCTTTTTCACGAGCATCAACGGTAGCAGGTCCGACCCCCCTCCAGCGCGCCTACCACCCCCACCATGTGAACGCGGACCCCTCACCGTCACACGGCGCTCGCCGGGGGCCGACGCTCATGCCTCCCCACCTTCTTCTCCTCACCCGCGCTCGATGTTGCCTCTTGTTGCCCCTCACTTTCCCCCCAAAATGTGTGCCCCCCCAGTCCCCCCTCTGTGCCCCTCACCACCTCACATGCCGACTCACCTGATGACTTTGGCCTCGACCCCTGAAAGAGAAGGAGACTGTACAATACCTAAGGTTGGTAGGTCGGTAGGTAATAAGGCGGAAGACCTCACCGTCATGGCCTTTCCCCGGCTCGGGTCCCTGCAGGACACCCCTCGCCGATCGGGACTGTCAAACGCCCTCCCGTCCTGCCGTACCTGCTTGCCCTCCCTGGAACCGCCTTAGCCCCGTCCCACTTCTGTGTTACGACCCCAGGGCCCCTCGGGCATTTCTCCAAGCCAAAGTGTCTCGTCACTTTGGGTCAGGCCATCACACGTCGACCACGCCGGTGGAAGAATCAAAGTATATGGGGTTTTCCTTTTGTCAAACGAAGTGGCATACTGCCTTCTATTTCCATCTTGTGCGACCACGCCAATCTGGCTAGACCCATCGAGAACCAAAACATGTGATGCAGACGGAGGCCAAGACGGAACTTTGAAATTCAGTCGCAAAAAAGTCGCAAAACAAAGTCGCAAAACAAGACACATCTCATACGAAAAACAAATCGGCTTCTCTAGAAACATGGCGCAATGTGCAGAAAAGACAAGACGAAGCTGAAAACAAAACATAGCCCACCCCTCCTGCCGTTTCCCTCTTGGTACAAACAACCATGGCGCCATTCCCATCACTTGTCTATCAATATCTTGTTACTTGTTCTTGCTCATCATCTCTCGTCACCACTCCTCTCTAGCAGATATCTCGAGCAGCCTACGCGGCAGAGCCAAAGTCGCCCTCCACCCCGTTGATGCTGCTGCCCTGACTAGACGGCGCATCCTGGCTGTAGCTGTCCCAGTTGGCCAGCACCGACGCAATCTTGGGCGAGTTGGTGAGCTTGTACACCTCCTCAAAGTATTCCTTGGTGATCGCAAACGGCTTGGCCGTCACGTTGGGAATATATTTGCCAATGAGCTTCGAGGGATCGATCGTCGTCCTGTTGATCTTCTTGAGCAGGAACGAACGGAAGGGCTTGACACCCGACCGCAGGAAGGTCGAGTGGAACGGCACGTCGATACCCTTGAGAGGGATCGTCGCGAAGCCCCTCTGGAGGTCGAGCGGCGTCGGCTTCTTGAGCGTCTCCTCGGCAGAGCCCTTGACAATCTCTCGCAGCGCATCCTTGGCCTCTGCGATGTTGTCGCGCATCTCGTCAACGTCAATCTTCTGCACCTTCAGGAAGTTCATCACGCCAGTCAGCGTGTCGAGCGCCCGGAGGTCGCCTGCCGCGACGTACTGCATGTTGGCGATGTTGTAGTTGACAATCTCCAGCAGCCAACCCGTCTCCTCAGCGATCATGCTGACCACGAACTCAAGTGCCTCCTCGTTGAACGTCTTGGAGATGCGGCTGGGGTTGATGGCGCACATGGAGTAGTTGGAGCGACCTGCGGCGTCACGCTCGACAGCAACCTGCATCGTCAGGCCGCGATAGAACACGACGGACACCAAGCTCTCAATGGGCATGACCTCGGCCAGGGCCGCAAGTGCCGAGTACTCGCCGAGGGAGTGGCCGGCGAAAGTGCAGTCGCGGGGCACAAGACCCTTGGACTTCATATCCTCAAAACTGGCCTTCTCCATAAGCGTGAGGGCGGGCTGTGTAAACTGCGTCGCCGACAGAAGGCCAGTAGGCGACCTGTATGTGTACGAAGTCGTCTTTTCATCAACCTCCTTGAAGATCTTTTCCGACTTGATGGAGCCATCAGCTGCAACTGTCTCGAAGGTCATGGCCATGTAGTTGGCACGGATGGCTTTGCCACGAGGGCCACCAAAGTGGATGGTCAGCTCCTTAGGGTTGTTCTTGACGATGTTCGTGATTGAGAAGCCTGCATTCATCAGTACAATCACTTGAAACACGAGAGTAAGATTGCTTACCGTAGTTGTCCATCAGGTAGGTATCGGCGCGGTCCCACACATCCTTGGCGACAGGACTGCTGGCATAGAGCTCCATGCCCATGCCCTGCTCCTGAGAACCCTGACCAGTGAACACGTAGGCAGTCACGGGCTGCTCAATCTCGGCCTCACCGAGGAGAACCTTCTCCTCGTTCTCCTTGTTGATGGCCTCGACCTTGATGATCTTGCGACCAGCCACCATGCCGACGTGCTGCAACTTGACTTCGAGATCGTCGTTGGGCAGGACCATACCAACGAGAGAGGCGTGGAAGCTGCGGACGCGGCCAATGTTGTTCTCGGCGGCCCATGTCTCGACGAGACTGCGAACCGAGGCGCTGGAGTACATGCCGTGGGTGATGGTGCCGGGCAAGTTGGCGTATCCGGCAAACACACGCGAAACGTGAATGGGGTTGTAGTCGCCGGAAACACGAGCGTACGTCTCGTTGGAAGAGGGCGCACGAAGCTGCAGAGGAGTCTTTCCACTCAGAGGAATAGGGTTCTCGAAGTTGAGGGGCTGATCGAGGGGCGAGCCGTGGCGCTCGAGGTAGTCAATGACAGGGTTACCATGCGAGACACCAGCCTCATAATCGACGCTAGCCACCTGGATAACCTCCTTGCTGGGAAGCTCAAGTAGCACCTGGCCGTAAGTCTGGATGCTGCTGAAGACAGTCTTGTTCTGGAACTTGAGGAAGCTCTGCAGACGGAACTCAAGAGTCTGTCCGAGAAGCTGGATGTCCTGAGGGAGGTCGTCGAGGTTGAACCACTCCTTGGCCTTGAGGACAGCGACATCCTGAGTGGTGGCGAGGTGAAGCTGCACAGGAGTCTCGGTCTTGCGCTGGAAGGTGTTCTCAAAGTCCGAGTACACACCGCGGTACAGGAACTGGGACGTCACTTCCATGACGGCTTCGCCATCACGGCTGATGGTTCCGCAAACCTCAACCATTTTACCAGACTCCTGGTTGATGACAGCGTTGATTTGAGCAGTGGTGCTGACCTCGTCACCCTTCTTCAAAGGCTCAGCGCCTGGCAGCATGCGGAACTGGTTCGACAGGTGGACGAGCTTGAGGAGATCGCCGTCAATGGTGCGGGGGAAGATAGGCTTGGTAATGGCCTTCCAGCCGACAACAATAGCAAAGTCCATCGGCGCAAATACTGTCTTTCCGGGACGCTCGACAAAGGCCTCGCCAGTGTTGCCAACAGCATGGACAAAGTCGTTGATGTCCTCTCCAGTGATCGTGGCCTTGCCACCATCGAACTGCTTCGAGACGTCGGCATCGAGGTCGAGAGTCTCGTTGCCGAACCAAGCACGCCAGTAGAACTCCTTGATGCGGTCATTGCGACCCTCCATGACCTCGTGAATCGGAGCGTAACCAGCCTCGGGGCGGTACACGAATTTCAGGGGCAGGGACACCGGCTCGCCGAGGGCAGTGGTGTCCTTGATCATGTTGACCAGAATCTCGTTGTTACCAACAAGCTTGACCTCGAGAACGTCGACGTACTGGTTGTGGCGCGGCTGCTCCTTGACGATGATGCGGGTCCTGGCAGGGTCGTTGGGGAAGTGGATCTCCACGAACAGGCCACGGACGGGGGCGAAGATACGCTTTATCGGGTTGGTCTGGAACTTCTGACCTTGAACAAGAACCTCAGAAGTCAGGAGTGCGTGACGCCAGCTGCGACGGGGTCCGGCAAGAAGAGCCAGCCAGGCATCCTCAGTGGGCATGGTGGCAGACGGCGAAAGGTGCAGGCGGTAGGTGTTCTTCGTCTCATCATACGAGGTAAGAAGACCATCGACGTCCTCGACCGGAATCTCGGTATCGTTCAGCTTACCACCGAAGTACTCGATGGTGGGAATCGACTTCTTGTCGCCGCTGTACAAGTCCTGGGTGAGACGCTCGACGTGGGCGTCGTGAACACCATCAAGGATATCCTTGATAGGTTCATCCAAAATGGTGGAGAACTTGGCGGCGGTAGGGCCCTGCAGAATGCAGGTCCTGCCGACGTCCTGGCCAATGACGGCGCTGAGGTCCTCGGACTGCCACAGCGAGTCCTTCTTGAAGAAGAACTCAAAGTTCTCATCAAGGGCGGGCACGAAGGTGGGGGGCTTCTGGCCGCGACGCCGGCAGAGCATGAGGAAGTGCTGAACGTCCTGTGCGTTGATAATCTGGGTATCAGCCTCGGGGTAGCCAGCAAGAATTCTCTTGACAGTCTCGTAAGGGCTTTCGAGTTCGCCAAAGTCCTGTAGCAGGGAAGCCTGGCCGGGCTTGGAGGTGAAGCGCTCCTCAACACGATGGATGAAATCACCAGTGAATTTCTTGTAGGAAGCATCGATCCAGCGAGACTCGTGCCTGAC